GAGGAGTAAGATTGATTGGATAAAGCCAGTTCTCCTTTAAGGTTCTAAAAAGGGCCCCCTCTTACTGCTCCAGCTTCCTCTCCACTCTCCAGCCATGTTAGATTCTGATGGTCCCCGGCACCATGCTTCCTCCTGGTTTTAAGCTTTGCACACTGCCATTCCCTTGGCTTAGAAGGTGCACCTTCCTCAAAAACAAATGCACGCACACTCACACAGAGGCTCTGTTTTGCTAACTCTGCTTGACCTCTGGGTTTCTGCTTGAATGACTCTTGTTGGAGAAGCCTTCTTGACCTTGCCTCTCTTTCCAGATTGAATTGTGTGCCCTTCCCTGGTGCATCCATAGCACTCTGATTTTCCTGGTCATAGCACATTTTAACTGTGTTGAAATTGCTTGTTACTTCTCTTTCTCCTTCAAATAGATCTGCATGTCTAGTGGTCAGAGGCTTGAGTACCTGGTGCCTGGGATGGACTTAGTAAATGTTTGTTGGATGAATGAATGAATGAATGAGCAAAGAGGAAGGACTAGAGTTGGGAGAAAATAGCTCCTGGCAAGAATGTCTGCACTTGATCTTAGCCAAAAGGCCGAGAAGCGATTGGCAAGAATGTCTGTAGCAGTGGGTGGATAAAGTGGATAAAGGAGCTGGTGTGACTGAGTTGTGTGCGTACGTGTGAGAGAGACACAATTTTGTGACTGACTGACCTTGGGCCTTGAGGGATGAGAAGAGCTGAAGGTGATGCCTGTCTTTTGAACCTCAACAGCTGGAGTTAGGTGAGGCCATTAACTAAGATGGGGACTACAGGAGGGGCATGTTTGGGGAGACTGGGGGCAAATGTATTGATTCTGTTTTAGGTGTAATTGGGGTAGTGTTAGCATGTATGCATACTGTATGGCATTGGAAATGTGGGTCAGCGACTGGGGAGTCATTCCTATCACCTTGTTTTTTCTTCATCATTGAACTTTCAGAGGGCAGGGGGAGCCCTGGTGATGGAGACTTAGAGGTCAGCATCTTTGTCACAGGCAGGATGCAGAAGGGTGGTGAGTGGATCTGGAGGGGCAGATGGAGCCTCTGAGAGAGAATGTAAATTTCTTGGAAGTACAGACCTTGTTTGCCTTGCTCATTGTTACATCTCTGTGCCCAGAACAGTGCCTGTTGGTTGAAAGATTGAATCAGTTCAGATGAATCAGGCGTGGAAATCATAGTAATGGGTGAAATTGTCATGGGAGAAGAGAAAGGACTTGAGGGCAGACATGTGGTGAATACTTCCATGTAAGTGTCACCAGACAGGAGGGGCCCAGTGGAGACTGAGAAGGAATGGTCAGAGAGGAAATAGAACAAGAAGAACGTAAAGTCAGGGATGCTTAAGTGCAGATGGTTGTAAGGAGGTTGGTTATCAGTTGCAATGCTGAGGAGAGTTTGAGTACAATGAAGACTGAGAAAAAGGTATTGATTTTTTTGTCAATTTGATAGGGAGTTGAGAGGATGAGAAAGAGGTAGTGAAAGGGTAGATCATTCTTTCAAGGATTTTGGTGGTAAACGCAGAGTGCTGGTAAAATGGCAGTGAAATGATGATCAAGTCCAAGTTGAGAGAAGAAGTCACTGCACCCTGATGGGTGTCTTAGTTATCTTTGCTGCTGTAACAAATTACCACAAAGTTAGAGGTTTAGAAAAGGATATATGTATTATTTGGTCCTGTGGGTTGGGCATTCAGGCAGAGCTTTGCTAGGTCTGCTGCTTCAGGGCCTCACAAGCCTGCAGTCAAGATGTTGGCTGGGGCTGGGGTCTCATTGGATGGCCCGACTGGGGAAGCATTTTCTTCTAAGCTCATATAACAGTTCTTTGCCATGTGGGCCTCTCCAACATGGTAGCTTTCTTCATCAGAGCCAGGAAAGGAGAGTCTGCTAGCAAGACAGAAGGCATGATGCACATTGCCTAATCATGGAGGTGATGTTCCATTGCCATATTCTGTTGTTAGAAGCGAGTCCCTGGGTTCAGTGCATGCTGAAGGGAAAGAAGTTATTATACAGGGTGTGTGTTGACATTAGGAGGTGGGGGTCGTGGGTGGTCTGCCATGGTGTTTGTCCACCACAGTGGGGAGGGGTGATGGCACTGGAAGGCGTAGGACAGTTCTTCAGAGGCCCTGCAGGGTGCAGATGGTGGGATGGGAACTTTTAGAGAGGGCAGTTTTGGAGGTGAAGTTCCAGGTGAAGGTTCAGATACGTGGTGTTCATGACCCTTCTCAGGAAGCCTTCCCCGCCTTCTCTCCTTGTCCCCTGATGAGGGGGATAGGTGCCTCTTGAAGTGCTCGCTCCTGCTAGATAGATTAACAGCTTGTAGTATAACTGCAGTTGATAAACCCTTCTACCTTGCTAAAGTTGAATTATTTATCAGCAGATTCTTGGCCGATGGTTCTCTCTCTCCTGTTTGCCTTAGGTTGTTGCTGAGGGTCAGATGAGGAGACTCAGGTGGAAGCATTTTATGGAGTGTAAAGTGATTGCAAACAAAAGGTGTCAACTGTACTACTTTCCCCCAGATTCAGTAGAACACATGGGCTGTAGCGTACGTTTACTTGGTAACTTGGGTTCATTATGTTGTACCTGAGCTGTGGACCTGGGCTTTCTTTAATGCTGTGGTATTTTAGGACCTTTGGAGTAGACTGTTTGCTTTTATGAAAAATGACCCCAAACTGCTGCGCCTTTCACTTCCTTGTATCCAGTTTTACTGTTTTTTAAAAATCTGTCCTTGCTGTCCCTTGTCACTCTTGCTTCTCCTTATCTGCCAGTCTCTAGCCATCCTTTCCCCTTCTGATTTGTTGCTTCTGATCTCTGGGCTTGGCAACCTGATAACTAAACTCGTTAGAGCTGGGAGTAGTTCAGTAGTAATCAGGCCAGGACTGCGGGTCCGAGAGCCCTCCCCACAGTGACACATGAGAGCTTTTGTGCGTGGACAAATCCCTTTTGGCCCCAGAACACGTCTTGGCTTCCTTCCTGGTCCTGGCTGTGTCCAGATTTGGTGAGTGCCCCCACCGCCTGTTCCATTCAGGGAAGCGCGGCCGCCGTTGTCTTGGTGGGCGCCTCGTTGCTCTGCTGTGAAGAGACAGTGTCTTCCTCTCCTTTGATTTTGATGAGGTTTTAGTTTTGGGGCAGTGGCAAGTAGATAGGTGATGGGTTGTCCGTGGTTCATGGGCCAAAAAATGTTTGAGAAGCACAGGAAGTCTTCCCACCAGGCCAGCATCCAGGCTTGTGTGCGGCGTCACGTTGCGGGCCTTCCCCGGGGGACGCTGAGCTCCCAGCCCGGATCCCCGCGTGCGCTTCGGAGCTGCTCAGTTCTGCGCGTGCTCTGGCTTCTCTCTCAGGGCAGCTTGTGGACTTTTTCCGCATAAACTTCTGTATTGTTTCTTACTGGAGAAACATTATTACGTTATTAGGGAGAGAACCTGTGTTCCTGGGAAATAGCCCAGGAGTCACGTAGGAAGACCTGCTCTGGGCCTCGCTCTGCTCCCTCCTCGCCTGTGGCCCTTGGCAAGCATCTGTGCCTGAGCCTTGGTGTCTCCTTTCCTAGAGCAGACGTAATGTCTGCTCTGCTGCCCGCTGGAGCCAAAATAAGATTTTATATATGAAAAAGCTTGTTCTGTGTACATAATACCAAATAAAATGCCTTGCTTGTTAGGCTGACACCTTACAGCGCTCTGTTAAAAAAGTTGTCATCCTCAGTGCTAGTAATGAGTACTAGTAAGTGCCACTAAAACAGTGTAATTTTAAATTTTATATAGTTTTTCTGAATGTATTCTACTAGAATCTATTTATACAAATGAGGACATTTAATAAGTGCTCTTTGATTATTGTCAGAATATTGCATATACTGGCTTCCTAGCCAAATTGAATTTATGAAAATTCTAATGATACTGTGATTCATATCTAGAAAGAATGTTTTCTTTCTGAAATCACTTTAGATATGCTTTACATGAATCTCTGGTAATAGTGAATCAATTAATGTGATTTCTCAGGTCATAAATCATATACCGTAGTGTTAGTTCCTGTGTAAGCTTCTTAGACCTTCAACTGTTTTGTGGTCTGTTTTAGCACTTGTTTGCTTTTGAACTCAATTCTAGGTGTTGAACTCAATTTGAGAGCCTCAAATGGTTTGCGCCCCAATTACCTTAGAGGTTCCTGCTTCACTTTCTTGTGGCGCCTGCCCCAGCGGTAGGAAGTCAGCCACCTGTCAGACATTTTTCCTTTTAACTTGAGCACATACTTTAATTTTGTCTCTATCCCATAGGAGTGTTGTGAGGGTTATTACGGTAGCACTTAAAATGGTATATTTTAAACTTCTTGAAAAGAGGTGATACGTGAGCACAAAATATTTTTGTACCATACCACATAATTTTTTCCCCAGTAACCTTTGGTGATTTGTGTTCGGGGTACACGTTGGCTCTCTAGTCTCAGAAGTCATTAGCCCGCTTTCCTGGAGGCCCCCGGGCCTGCTCTTGGACCGACTCTGCTCCTCTTCGTCGCGCAGGCCTGTGCTCTTGCCGCAGGCAGTGGCGCTGGCTCTGCTGGTGTCCGCGGACCCTGTGGAATTTTCACCCCCTTAGTTGTTCTTAGTGGATCGAAAGTAGCTTTTGTCTACTGTTTGATTGTTCAGGGACCAGAAGATGGGTGGCAACTCAGGTGGCCTTAGGAGGGGGAGAGGTTTTTAAAAAGGTGAATGGTCTTCTGTAAATCCCACCATCACCAGGGCAAGAGATGGGACCACTCTTTTTCCTTTCCGTGAACCTCTGGAAATGTCGTTTGTCCACGACTTCAGCAAATACTTGCACTCCTGCTATGTGCCACACATTAAGTATTGGGTACTGGAGATTCAGTGGTGAAAAGTCAGACATCCCTTCGAGGATGCCCTTGATATAGTCTTATTTTGAGTGTGTTAGAAAAATACTTATTGGAGAAGAAAAACTGGTAGGTTGGGTTTAGATGCTGAATGGCCTCAGGGATTAAAGGTGGAGGCTGTAGGTTAACAGAAGACATTTCTGAAAGGAATGACTTTTCTGTAATTTAAAACAAAAGAAAACAAAACAGCTACAAATGGCATTGTGGCAGAGACTGCTAGCTGATCACAAAACCTATCTCCTCTTCCTGGGCAGGTAGCCAGATTGCATTTCCCAACCTCCTTTGCAATTAGGTGTGGCTTTGTGGCCATTTTCTAGCCAATGGAGCGAGAGCAGAGAAGTGTGCCACTTCTAGGGCTGGCCCTTAGAGCCCTCCGGGCATGGTTATCCGTGCCCTTTCCCTCTGCTGGCTGATGCCGGCAAGCCCAGGGACCTAGGGAGGCTCCTGCCATGAGATGGAAGGAGATGTGGTGCCAGAGCCGCTGCTTGGAGAAGAGCCGTCTCCTGATCTACTATTTTGGACTTTACACGAGCAAGAAGTAAATATTTATGGTATTTGAGCCATGATACAGTTTATTCTAAGAGTTAGCCTCCCTAACTAGGCACGATGCCTAGAATGCTAGGCAAAACTGGTGAGTTTAGTAGAGGTGCTGAGGATTTCGGACTCTGCCTTAGTTTTGATTGTTTATATGTCACGTTATATGTAATGATCAGTGAATTTCAAGAATCGGTGTGAAACTATGCGACAAAAGTCTTTTTAATATATCACTTCTAATTGGTACAACTAACTGGTTTATTACATTCAGTGTGGCCTCTCTCAGTCTTTGTTTTAATAAGCTGTGTGTGTCCTCAGTTAGCTTTAAAGGGACTCTGTGGAGACTGAAACATTGTCAGTCCTTATGTCAGAGAACTGGAAATACAGTTTTCATCATGCAGCTTCTCTGTTCAAAAGCTGGTAGTCATTTCTCCTTATTTAGCTTTTTATTTCATTTATTCCATCATCCAAAAACTGTGTATATGTGTGTGTATGTGTGTGAAAATGAATGTGGCTATGTGTAACACTGACCTAGGTTCTGAAGGGAGACAAAATGAGTAAAACTCGGTCCGTGTGGACCTGCAGAGAGGCCGTGCTCGGTGCACAGCTACTGAGCCTCCACACCGCTGTCCTCTCCTCACTTCAGCCCAATAAATCATGTAGTATTTCTTCATTACTTTTTTTTTTTCAGTATTGTCTCCAATTAGATGTGCTGTTTGAAAGCAGGGAATATATTTTGAAGAGCTTCTGCGTCCTCTCTTGGGCATTTATAGCCGGCACTGAACACCGTGCTTAATTGAGTAACCGTCCCTGTAGTTTCCCTTGCTTTCCTTGCTTGGCTATCCTGGCATAGTTCTGTATGATAGTTTGTGTTAACAGACAGAAGTATTTTCTCAGTCTGTTAGGAATTCATGGAATTGTGCAATCAGGAATGTTGGGACTGGAATGATCTTTTTTAAATTGAATTCCTGATCTTTTAGATCATCTAATTCGTGATACCTGATGTGTGGCCACGAGTCATGGCACGGGCATTACCTGGCCCTGAGCTTCTTAGAGGCACAGGCTCGGGCACAATTCAGACCCACCAGATCCTCAGATGACCCACGTGCACATTAAAGTTGGAGGTGCACTGCTCAAGGTCGGCCTCCCATTCTCCTCTAGAGAACACTGGGAAGGTCAGAGTTGCCAGTCACACGACTGTTTATTTCAGTGGTTCCCATCCTTGGATACGTCTTGGGATCACCTAGGAACCTTTAAAAAATGCTGATGCCTATTTCATCCCCATACATTTGCTGAAATGGTCAGGATTGCAGCCTGTGCATTAGACTTTGGAAAATCTCCCTGGATGGCTCAAGTGCAGACATGCTGAGAGCCACTCCACCTAGTTAATGAGAGAATCCAGGTTTCCTGATGCTCTAATCAAGTCGTCCCTATGCTCCACACAGGGGTAGACTTTCAAAAACAGAGCTCTCCTTCCCTGATTTTTCCTCTTAGAGCACCCCTCTGTCTTAGGCCCTTCACAGCATTTATCCCACTCACCCTCTGCCTCCCCACTGACAGGTGCCCCATGAGTGTAGGACCTTTGACTTGTTCATGGCTGAGTCCCAGCTCCTGGGACAGTGTCTGGCACACGTGAGGTGCCCCTATAATATACCTAGAACAAATGGGAGGAGTTTCGATGAAGAGAAAGCGAGATACAGGCATTCAGACGTACCAGGGGCTGCCCACCTCTGTCAGCAGAGGCTCCGGAGAGACTGAGAAGTGTAAGCCAGACCTGAGGGGCAGCCAGGGAGGTTAGCGTGAGGACTTGAACCCCTATCTGATGTTAGAGCGTGTGCTTTTCCTGCTCCGCACCTTGTCCTGTCGCCAGGAGACTTGGCAGCAGGGGGATGGACTGGGTCCAGGACTGCAGCTTCTCGGACCCTCAGACCAGTGCTTCTCCCTCCACTCAAGAGCCACGTCTGGCTTGTAGCAGTGGATATCAAGGGATCCCAGGAAAGACCCCAGCACAGAGTCTGGCTCCTGGGTAGTTAATACAAGATAGCCATTGCTTACGTGAGTTTTCTGGAGTTTTATCATAAGTGCTTTGAGAACCTGGTGTTTGTGAGTGTAGGATGACATTTGATTTCACTCTCAATTTATGTGAATTTCTTGCCCCTTTAAATTAACTATTCAGACTTTGTTTATTATACTTGTGCTATTGACAAGTCATGGTTAGTTGTTCAAGATATTTCTGTCACATGTATTGTTTTTAGAGTTTAATTCTTTCGATTTGTTATTTGGTATATTTTACCACTGATTTTCCTGTCATCAAACTTTGAGGTCAGGTGTAAAAAGTCCTTTTTTATGAAGTCGTTCATTAATGTGCTCCACTGTACATTAGTGATTTTTAAAACTTTTGATGAGACCATTGTTAAGATGTCTTGATGATGTCTTGATAGGAGGTAAATCTATCTTTTTTTTTTGGTAATAGGAAGCCAGAAAACATTCAGTCTTGAACATAAAACATTCTTTTTAACGTTGTAAAATTTCTAGTTTCAATTTGGAAACCACGTTGAGATGAGATGTTTTGTGTTACTGTGGTGAGAAGGCTGTTGCTGGTGACTCTGGCGGACGTTACCTGAAGTTGAGCACTGCTGACTTCACATCAGCCACTAGAATTCCACACTCGTGGTCAGGGGAAGAAAGTAATGTTGAATTTTACAAAGGAACATGAATTCTGAGGTTAGTCCATAGTTCACAGGGAAAATTTTGGGGCCCAGATTGCCAATCAGTAGTTACACTATTGACTGAGTCAAGTAGGACAGTTATAAGTCCTGGAACAAGAATTTTCTAGACATAGGAAGTAAATAATTGGGGAACTGATGGTTATCCTGGTAGCTAGGAGTCACCCTGTGGATAAAGACTTATTCTGTGCTGGAGCAGTTATCAGGGATATAAGGGAGAGGAAAGTAAAAAATTCGTAGAAGTAGGTTTAGTCAGATTTCAGCACTTTTTGTGGCACCAAAAAACCCAGGCAGTCATCAGTTTGTTCTCAGAAAATGTGAACATTGTTGAAGATTATCCTTATTAACCAAAGTAACAGTAGCATTCCATATCTGAGTGGTACTTCTGAGTACCTTCGTGTGCATCAACCCATCCAGTCTTCCTAGCAACCCTGAGCTAGGAGAGATAAGTATCATCTCTACCTTTTTTGATGAGATAATACAGAGAGGCTAAGTTACTTTGCCAAGGACAGTTAGGAAGGAAGAGAACTGAGCTTTTTATATTTTAAATATAAAATGTTGAGCGTGATTATTGAACTTGTAAGCTATCTTTGGTTTTCTAGGTATATAAATAAATGGTTTATAATGCTGGAGGAGTAATCTAAAGTTTTATTTAATACTGCAACTGAACAAAAAAGGATATTCTTAGGACCAAAAATAATCGTCTGGCAAGACTCAAAGAAATTTTCTGTCCTTTTTAAAATGTTGCCATTGTGTAGGTTTTTATAAGAAAATTTTAATTTTATCTACATGAAGCAGCCTGAGAGCAGAGACCTGGTCTTCTAACTTCTTCCTGACTTACCCCACCCGCCATACTGTTAGTTGGCACTCTGTAGGTTCTTTTGAATGAGTTGGGTTTTGGGCTTACTGTTGGAAATTGGTTAATAATGTCGTTGAATGTTGACTGAGCTGCAAAATGAAATGTCATTGGTTCTTTTTAGGAATAGTTTACTGTGGGTAAAGCACATAGGCTCCCCGTTAAAAAAATTATACAGGTAATATAGGTTCACCAGCATATATCTTTTTTCACACATGTGTATTTTAAATTTTGGAACACTTTTAAGCCTACAGAAGAATTGCAGGTGTAGAGCACAGTACTGTTTTCCCTTGGACTGTATGAGAGCAAGTTGCCAGTGTGTTTCATCACTCTCAGGTACTTGATTATGTGTTTCCTACAAACGAGAACATTCTCTTCCATCACCACGGTACAAGAATCAGGAAATGAACACCCAGACATTTCTGCCATCGAATCCTCGGAGCTACTCCGGTGGTGCCGGTTGACCCAGTGGTGACCTTGTAGAGAAAGGCCTGGCGGGGATCCTGGGTGGCACTCGGTTGTCTCCTCACCTCCCTTTAACCCACAGCAGTTCTCGGTCCTTTCTGACTTTCATGACCTGATGCTCTTGAAGATTACAGGCCAGTCACTCTGTGGTGTGTTCCTCAGGGTGAATTTGTCTGATATGTCCTCATGATTAGATTCAGGTTTTGCACCTTTGGCAGGAATATCACAGAAGAGCCAGTATTTATCTTTTTCAAAGATTAGTTTTACATTTTATTTTCTGTTTCCTTAGAGCGTTTCCCAAAGTGTATTCTGCGGAACTAGCACCTACTGTGTTCTCAACACCGTGCCACCTATAGAAGGTAGGATTCGAAAGCTTTTGACTTACAGGAAGGGGTGGGCTTGGCAGCGAGAGTAATTCCATCATTCAGTGCAGGAAATAGCCTGTGGTCAGCACCAAGAAGACCTGAGTTCTGCCTTAACTTGCTGTGTGATCTTAGATGAGTTACTTAATCCTTCTGGGGTAGCAAAATAATGCTCCCTTTGTAAAGTTTCTGTGAGGATTAAAAAGGCAAAGAGTTTAATCACATGGAAAATTCAAAGCACTCTGCAAATGTTAAGTATACTGATACAATAATTCCGTATTTCTAGTGTCAAATTCCAGGTGACTTAGAGTAAGGGCCTGTGGCATTGTGGGAAAAACCAGAGGTCATGTTTGAATCCCATTTGAGCCACTTACTAGCTGTAAATCTTGGGCAAATTAATCTTAACCTCAGGTCCTTCATCTGTAAATTGGGGGCAATTATGTCCAGATGGGTTTTGTGAGAATTTAATGAGAGAGTGCAATGTAGAATCCTTTCTGGATGCTTGATCTAGAGTCCCACAAATGTCTGCTCCTTCATAAGTAGTAGAAAATAAATGTACTTGATCACATGTAGCTCAAATTGAAATTGAACGGAATGAAGCAAAGAGCGAATGCCCCCAAACCCAAATCGAAGCAACTGATTGATTGCAAGGCTTCTGGGCCTCCCCCCTTTATCTGCCCCGCCTACATGTTTTTAGACTGAAAGTGTAAGTGCCGATAAATAGAAGTTTATTGAATCTGAGTGTGAGTTCATCTAAACTCGGGTGAGAGATTTAGTAATATGATTGACAGGGAGAGGGTAAATCTGGGTCACCTAAAAACAGAAGGGGTAAGATTTGATGATCACACACTCTAAGAGGAGGAAAGGGGTTGTGAAATAGCAAAACTAGTTACATTTTTCTATTAAATTAAAAAAATTTTTTAGCCTTTAAACATCTTTTGGATAATTACAACTGAGTTTAATTCATTTTGGAGGCTTTCCTTGGGAAAGAATGAGAAGAAATCATACCAATGCTTGGCACATAGTTGATGCTTAATTAATATTTATTTTGGATGAATAGCGATTTGGGGTCTTAGGTTAGTAATGACAGTATTTGGTGCTGTGAGCACTCTGCCGACTTGAATATAACAATATGCGCTTATGTTTTCCTGAATCAGTTCCTATCCTACTAATTAAATCTAAGCACATAATAATTAGAGCTAAACAGAAAATTGTAGAACTTCCTTTTAATTTTACCACTCCAAGTTGTTGATCAAATATATTCCCAGTAAGATTTAGCAACTTGATACACTGTTAGACCAACTTATTTTGAACAGTTTGTTCTAGAGGTTGAGAGTTTAATGATAATCATCTTGATTGAATAACAGTGTTTGTAATTACTCACAAAACCAAAATCATTTAATTTTTATTAATTATGAATTGAAATAAAATGAATGCATCATTTTCCAGGGTAGAGTTAACATAGTTATGATTTACCTTGCCAAAGTCAACAGTGTGTTCCAAGGAAAAGGTTGTATACACTTCTTTGGATATAAATAGAGGATTTGGTAATGTGAAATCTCAAATTTATAAATAAAACATGAAAATAAGAATTCTGTTTTTTGCCTAGTTAACTAAGTGAATGAGCATTTTTGTACTTTTGGAAAGTTTTAGTTAAGTTATAGTATGTCTCTGAAATTATTATTTGGAAAATATTTGAAGGTTGACTGGAAAGGATGGCTCATTCTCTAGAATTATAGCTGTCAGCCAAACAAATAATCTGTCAATTTCAAGAGCATCTCTAGTTATTTTTATTGTGAAGTAAGTTAGAAAATTATTTTGTAAAGTCATATATCATACACGCATATTTTGCTAGATAATGATAATGAAATGTTTTACTGTGTTTGGTTGGCACTTCCATTTTGCAGTGTCAGAGTTTAACTATTTGGATTAAATACTGAGATGTAATTGAAATCAGTGTATACCTTACTTTGAATATTAACTCAAGATACTGTTAGAATCCTTGTACTGAGAAGGATTTAAAAACTGGTACCTGTTTTGTCTAATTATTATGTCATTTGTAGTTACTCCCAAAACATGAGAAAGCAGTGTTTAATTAAAAAACACAGTTTTGTACAGTATATCCATGTGAGCAGTTCTTTTCTAGTGTAAAAGCTGAGTTACTCTTTATCACACTTTAACTAGAGAAACTGAAATATGAACATGTACGTTTTATCATTTTGGCTATTTGAGTTCCTGGTATTCTTTTCCCAGTATTAAAATTGCCATCTTCATAATGCACTGTGGGAAAATTTACCTATTGTTACGTTTCTCAAAAAGACCCAATTTATATTCAGAATGAACCGAAAATTCTGGAAATAGCACAGTTTAAAAACTGATTAAGGGGAACCCATTGGCCTGTCATACTTCTCTTCCTTTTGAACCCATGGCTGCACATCCCCATAAAGTGCTAAATTTAGAAACTTGATTGAGACTGTGCTTACACAGCCATTCTCCTTTTCCTCTTTAAAAGCCTTTGGGCCGATTCACCACTGCCTGATGTGGTATCAGAGTGGAAGACAGACGCCTTTCCTGTAGCGGTTAGTTGTGCTGTCGAGAAGAGTTCGCTTTCTCTCTCCCTCTCTACACACAAGCGCGCGCGCGCTTTGTATGCCCCAGGACAGCTGGGTTCTTCAAGGAGGCTAAAAGGACAGATAATTCATGTAAGGTTGTGATCACAAACATAGAAATAGGAGTTGGGGTTT